CAATGAAGAATGAACTTAGAAAGATGGGAGTGGATAACCTAAAGCTTAAAAATATATTTACTTATGGACTAGAAAGTTTATTTTTGTATCTTAAGAGAACAGAGCTGATTAAGAGAATTTAGTGGGAAAAATCTTCTTGAGGTAAATAAGTAGACATTTTATTTTTAATTTTATGTAGTGAAATTTATTTTTTTATTTTTTGTCCTCTTATTATGAAAGGGTAAACTCTGGTTCACACTCCAATACAGTAGGTGGCGATAATGCACCTTAACATTGGTGCTACCCGCCATAAACCCGAAGAAGAAGAAGATTGGTTGACAGATTCAACCAATGAAATCGGATCAGAGGCGGGGTCAAGACATTTGGAAATTTTGAGGGAATCTACAGAGATACGTTATCGACTGCTCGTCGGAGATCGCATTTATTGTAAGGTAAGTGAATTTACGATATATTTTATTAATATAAATCTAAAAATATTAATCTAAAAATCACACATAAACAGCCTCCGAAGTTTACTAAGATAATTGGGGAACATTGAAAATGCACAAAACTAATAATCATCGTCTAAATATTCGATCGTATGCATTTTGATTCGACTGCTTCAGTTCACCGCACCAAAGCTGCTAATGAGATAACCAGGGTAAAACATGCTTTTCCAGTGCTAATTTACCCAGCTGTCTGTGAAGCCGATATATGCGATCACATAACTCGTTCAAGCCTCCACAACATTTCATCAGTCAAAATTATACATCTCCCACCCTAGCGCTGCGAACAGGAGATCTCTGTTATTTTTAGTGTACTATGTGCTGCTCTCAGAGTAGGAGTATTCAATAGTTTCATATCACTGTTTTTTTTAGTCTACTATGTGCTGCTCTCAGGGCAGGAGCATTCAATAGTTAATATCTTTGTTATTTTTAGTCTACTATGTGCTGCTCTCAGGGCAGGACTATTCAATAGGTCCATGTCACTGTGTTATTTTTAGTGTACTAAATGCTGCTCTTGCAGAAGGTGTAGAGTAATGCTGCCGCTCTTAACACTAATAAAACAGCACTGTTGGTGTTTTACTTCTAGAAGGATAAACTTATTTGTTCATTAGTAAACTCTGTCATTGGTTATCATTTTTTATTTTTTGTCAAAAGAACTATTGTTTTCTGAATATGACTTT